GACTTGAAAGTCGTGAAAACCTCGTTAAAGATGCATTATGTAAGAATTTGATGAAGAGCTGGACGTTCTTGCTATATAGTTCAAAAATACAAAAACAAATTGAATATATTGAAAATTTCAGTTGAATTACTTTATTCTATGCAAAGTTAGGAATGTTTGAAGTTTTGACAAAATGTAGTGTAGATTGTTTATAGAGTCTAGATTATCTATTTTATCTTTAAACTCTTAAATGACTGCAGTCTATTTTATCTTAAAACTCATAAATGGCTGCAGTCTACTTAAATCAGAGCCATCCGTGGCCCAGAGTTGATAATGGGTTTATCATGTTAATAAATCTTTAAATAATAATTTATTTAACATTGGAAGCCAGAAAAAAGACAAGCAAGAGGCAGATTTAGCTCTTACATAAGGCATCTTTAATTAATGTATATCTAGTACTAGATGAACAAATAAACAAGACACAATTTTATGGGATAGATTATTTATCAGAGTTTTATTTTACTTATACATGTAAAAAAAAATTGTATTCCATAGAACTGTGTCCTGTTTATTTTCAGTTCATTTACTAAATGCCATTGAAACAATTCAATTGAGATGAACAGAGGATGATATAAATGATTGAATGAGTGGATGAGTAAACGAATGAAATAATTATGAATGAATATTATAAAGCACTGGGGTAGTTTAAAACCTGTTCTAAATTTATATATAACTGATATAAAAATAACTTTAGAATGTGTGAAACTGATAGGATAAGAGCATTGAAATAATAAACTGATGCAACTAATAAACCTAAAAATAACCAGTTTTATTACATTCCATTAGAGAGATATTAAAAGACAAAATTAGTCTGAAATTAGACCTTTCTGTATTTAGCCAGGGAAATAGGAAAGTCAAGGGGATATCATATAGGATTTAACAAAAAATGAGATTTAAAATGAATTCAATGGATTAAAATATAACAATGTATGTGTATTTATCGCTGATGTAGTAACCTTAACGTAATAGAACACGGCTACATTTGTAAACCTCTTACACAGAAATAGTCGTCTGCTAACACATCGATAGTTTATTGATGACGATATTGACGTATTTTATTAATGAGACGGATAGTTGTAAGCGGAGGGTGAAAAATATCCTTTGATTAGAGTTGTTTAAAAATAGATACTCGGCGACTCAAATAACGGTAAATTTTTATTGAATTAAACGCAAGTTGCGGGTGAAACTATTATTGGAGTGATATACGTCAGTGGGTGACGTATATTTATGGATTGACCTAAACTATAGGAAGTGGAAACGAGAGCTGATGTCGTATGTTGTCATTACAACATAGAATGGTTGAGCTAGCGGCCGCATTGTTCCTGAGTAACTAGGTCTTCGTATCTCCTTAATCATTCATTTCCTCAATAGTGCAAAAAACACAGTAATTGAAAGATAATTCTCTAATTGTTTCATGTCTATTTTGGGAATAGAATCTCTGCAAATTTCAGTTATTGAAACATTCATTGCTGTAAATGTCTGCTGTATGAGTTTAAAAAGTTCAAGAAAGGATTGAAAGAGATTTTAGAAAATAGAATACCGTCTGTGTCACTAATTACATTATATTTTGAATGAATGAATTCTATTTAAATATATTTCTGTAAATGTATTCAGGTAAAAATTATAAAAGGTTTATGTCTTGGACCGTTATAGTTCTTTTGATTACCATAATTCCTCTGAGATTTTTCTGTCTGCTGTAACTATCATTTTGTATGCCAACATTTCAGCCATTTTGTATTTAATTCTTCATCCCTTAACAAGTTAGTATTTTTACTGATGAAACGATGATTTTTTTTAGATTGTATGCTATTTATTTTAATATCAAATGCACCATTTTGACATAGTAAAAATTGATGCCATTAAACCATCTGTAATTGGTTTGTTACCTGTTTTAATTGGAAGTTTGTCATATTTCAGTGTGGAATTTTGTGTCTGGGCAATATTTTCCTCATAGCACACTGTATGTCGTACACCTGTCTTTATTAGCCCAGTCAGTGCAGAAAAGTAGGACGTTAATCTCCATTTAATTTCGTTTAAATTATCGGGTATATCAGAGGTACAAACGGACCCAATCTGCCACCTTCAATTTATTTGGGAATTTAGTGTTGTGTACAAATAGACAAAGGAGAAAATATCAATGAGCAATGTTTTGATTTGTGTGTCTAAAGATTAAAACAAGATTTTAGGGGTTTAAAATAAACCATACGTGTACTCCACATGTCCTTGACACCTGTACAAGATTCTAATTCTGTGAATGTTTCTTTTTTTGGTGGGGGGTCACGGTGGCTAAATGGGTAAGATGCTGGCTCGCTAGCCTGGAGGTTGGGTTTCCGATCCCTGCATTGGCAGAGAAAGTTCATCCAGATTTTCCGGCGTGATTCCCCCTAGTCATTCAGATGGGATAAAAAAAAACCAAGGTCCCATGTACACATTGGCGTGCACGTAAAGATCCCTTGACAGTTCGAATTTGATATAAGCGTAGGCCGTAGTGGGCAAAATTTCCCTCATAGCACACTGTATGGTGTATACCCATCTCTTCATTAGCCCAGTTCGGAGCAGAACAGTAGGACATTAAACCCCATTTCATATCATTTCATTTCACTTTTTGGTGACATTTTAAGACGTAGATTGATAAAGAAATAACGGCAGGTTTTGAATGTTCCCAGAGTCAATTGAGCATTTGAGTCCTGTTTTCCCCCTGTCAGTGGTGCAGTACGTAGGGTCTGGCAAGGAACAACATCTAGTTATTCAAGTAGGAATCCCCAAAAAATGAGGTCCTGTTTACACCTTGGGGTGCCCAAACAACCGTTGAACGTTGTAATCCAATTGCTGCCCAGACCAAATTTCCCTCAAAGCACTACATAGCACACTGCATGTCATATGCCTGTGATAAGCCAAGTTGGAGCTGGAAGTAGGAGTTCAAATACCATTAAATCACCTCCCTTAAAAATGTATTTTTCACTGATTTGTTATAATCATGTATTATGTGGTATTAATTGACTTGATAATGTGTAATATAGCCTCTATGATCAAGTTCATGAAGATCGTACTAAGTGTTACACAAGTGCAGTATATGATGTTTGTATATGGTGTTGCCATGTATATGACATAATGTCTATATTTATAATATATGATATCTAGTATCCCATGATATAAGTAATATTATGCTATATATCACCCTGTTATTATTTCACATTTATCAGATGAACACATTTTGCATTAATTATTACTCTGAAGGAAATACAAAATGTAATCTGATATCAATTCAACATTATCGCAGGTTTCCATCCTTTCCCCACTTGGTTTTGATAAAATTAAACAGGATTTTAACATCCTACTAGGGACCCATGGTGGCTCAGTGGGTGAGACGTTGGATCACTAACCTCGAAGTCCCATGTTCGATCCCTGCATTGGCCGAGAAAGTTCATCAGTGATGTTCGACCGAGGGTCTGGCAAGGGAAACGTATAGTCATTCAGATGGGACGAAAAGCCAAGGTCCTGTGTGTACACATTGTCATGCACTTTAAAGATCCCTTGACAGTTGGAATTCGATATATGCCCGGGCATAATTTCTCTCATAGCACACCGTATTTGTCACATCCGAACTACTAGATGCTGTTGCTTGGCAAGCCCTTTTATTGATGTGGTACCTGGTGATAATTTATTTATAAACAAAAACAGAGTATGTATGAACCCATGGTGAAGCCAGATATGTCGTGTTGAACATTACTGAGCTGTAGTCCAGACCCCAGGACCCAAGTCAAGCCAGATATGTCATGTTGAACATTACTGAGCTGTAGTCGGGACTCCAGGACCCAAGTGAAGCCAGATATGTCATGTTGAATGTAATGTAACTGAGCTGTAGTCTAGACTCCAGCCTGGAAGTACTAATTTTTGTAACAAATCTGTGCCAGACTAAATGAAAGGCACCAGATGAATTGTGTCTGACAAAGTCTGAATATATGCTGACAATGTCTGTGACAAATGCCTTATTTCCAGGCTTGCCCAACTGCAAAAATAAGAAACTTCAAGTTCAGTCCTGCTCATCGAATATCTATTACCGCTATGTTGTTATGTACGCAGTAGTTGTCTTCCCATCTTCTATGCTAAAAATAATTCACCTGTTATTAGCCGGAAAAAATATGAATTATTTCGAATACAAAAAAAAAAGATTGGCTCTAGTATTAGTTTAGTTACTATAAACTATGACGCGTTTACATAATTTGTCAGAGATTTGCCGCAAGGTATTCTCATTCAAATTGACGAGTTTTGGCAACGGTGAACATTCTCGATGCATTATTGATGTGGACATTGATGTTTGCCTTGATGCATCGATGCGTATGGAATTTTACTTGATATGGGCACTGCTAAGCAGTTTGATGTAATCATTTAATAATCCAACTAACAAATTGTCGCAATTGTATGTTGAAATTTTAAAAGATAGTCCCATGATATTTGATATCAGACTGCCAAGGCAGTGATGATTAAAAAAAAAAATCCTCCTTTAAAATTCCTGAAACTATTATATTTTTGCTGGTGACGAATATAATCCTTGAGTGGCTTTTAGTGATTGAGCACATTAAAAAAAAAAACATAATTTATATGGAAAACAATCACTCGTTAATACACATATGGCACCACATTTCCACAAGTATATTCTCTTATTGTTTTCAAGAAATGTTTGATGCTTGAAAACGATAAGAGAATACTTGTGAAACGTTGTGCCATATGTGTATAAACCAGTCATTGTTTTTTTTATTATATTCTTTACATGACTATATGTATTGTCAGTTTATATGAAGCATCCATCTACGAAACATGTAATACATTGAATTAAATAGTGTGGCCTATTACTCATACATGTGGGGCAGAGAGGCGAAAGAATGATGGAGCTTTTATTTACCATTTCAACATTCACTGACTGACTGACTGGCTGGCTGGCTGGCTGAGGGGTTGGTGTACTCTATGAATCTTCTCTCTCTCTCTCTCATACCAATACATCTTGTGACTGGTATTGGTCTATTGAGTTGAAAGTTAAAAATAGACCAACCCACTTACCCGACCAGCCCATCAGCTTTTACTAGTCTCACTCACAACTAAAGCACATGCTTGCTTTATAGCCTAGTCTGTCTGTCTTATTTTGTCACTTGCCAAAAATGGCAAATCCACGATAGAGTAGTAGAATTAACCAGCTGTTTACTAGAGCAAGCATTTTACCCACAAGTTAGCCTAGAAATAAACGAAAGGCAGGAGAACCAAAGTTGTTTAGAGTAGTGTGTACAGGAAGATAGTTGAAATAGTGTAAAATTTGGAGCGGATATATACATATTTATATATATTGGAGAGTTATGATTTGTAAAGTTGAATATAATACATGGATTGTACCGGATCATGTAGAAGTATTATTGATTCTGTTTAGCGTATGAGACGGATCTGTTACGTAGGTACAGTATTTATATATTATTATATATATATGGGAGTGTGTAGTATAATACGATTGTATGTATTAAAACTGTGATATGTTGTACGACCTATATATATATATATATATATATCATATTGTGTAGTTACACACTTTAGGCAGTTCAGCGACCATTGGTGAGTGTAAATAGTTTACTACATTTATTCCTAACTAAATTCAGTGGGTTAAGCTCATTATTTTTGTATTTAAATTGATTGAATAAGGTTTGTTACATATTGGAAACCCAAAGATGACTTTTTATTTAAAAGTCCAAGAAATTTGAACGGTAATATGTTGACATCAGCTTCTATATATGTAAAATATTATCACCAGGGGGTAGAGTATTTTCAATGGGGTCTAATATATTGCTGACTAAAGTTAAAGTGAGGTTTTAAGACTTGTAGGCAGTTAAATTATCCTGAATGTTTGGACTGCATCTGATTTAATGATTAGCTCCAAAGATTATTCTGTAGCTTGTATAGTACAAGAGCACCTCAACCCTATTTCTGGTGAAGTTATGTGATATCAAGTGTTATAGAAAGAGAAAGGGAGAAATGGGCTATAACACCCACTCGACAAACTAGGTCATTTTGGGACTAACATATCGAAACCACGCCACTTGACTCAATGACAGACCTTATTGTTTCATGCGTTTTAGAAAGAATAAGCTTACCCTTCATAAGGCTATATTAAGTTCCCCCCCCCCCGGTGTCCATTGATAACTTGATTTATAAGGTGGATGAAAAACACCCTGTCTGTTAAGATTACTTTACTGTAAAAATGCAAAACTTTGCAGAAAATAATATAATAATAATATATTCCAGTAAACATAACTGCTACGCAGCGCTAAACTGAAAGTAACAAAATTCACATTGACCAACAGGTTTCATTATCAAATTCCTGTTTGATTCCTATTGGTTTCGTCTACTAGACAGACACAAATTCGAATCCAATCGATTAGAACCCAAATTTTTATTCTAACCTGTTTGGTTTGGATAAAATCAATGTGACCACAGTCTCAGGAAGAATTTAAAAATAGGTAAAAGACAAAAAGTGGCTTTATTCATATTCACGGTCTTTGAAAACAATAGAATAAGAATAACGTCATTAGTCTCGGCATGCGAGGAAATAATAGAACACCATGTATAATTCATTTTCTTGTGAAAATATTTTCTTTCACAAATTGGTGTATTAATGTGGAGTTATGAAAAATACAAGCAACTAGGATCTGCGTTAGGTTCATTGTTAATCAAAAGAATTTATTTTTACATTCACCTTTGTCGTACCGTATAGTGAGTGGTTTCTTCATGTAAAATTGAATGTAGTTTTGATTCACAATTTGATATTCTGTATTTTACAAATATTTATTCTTAGAAAATCTTGAAGTTATACATTTTAACAATTTGGGTAACCAAATGGGTGACACAAATCTACACAGTCATTTTCATCTCGATGGTTACATGTGCAATGCTAGGCTTGAAGATTTTGGCCAGACAACAGCGTTTCTGCTTACTGTTCTTCTTCAGTAGGGATCATTGTCCTACTGCTTGAATGTCACAGTCCCCTGCAAAGAACTGTAGGTTACAACAGATAATAGAGAAACAAGATATTTTACAGTTTGCTATCTGTGGCTGTCAGTATAGGGCACTTTAACATGGTCTAGTTGAGCTACCTTAAATTTCTCGACAATGGTTATCATGTTATAAGAGCTATGGAGATGCAATTAAAATGCACCACTTATTTGACTGGAATTGCTGGATGCAGCTGAAATGTGATTTTTGACATGATTGTACGCCGGACATTTACGGACTAAAAGAAAATCACCACAGATGCCATAGCAACTTTACTTTACAGTGAAACATAGTCAATAACTAACACACGTGTCGACCTCTAACAGCCAAATAACTTGCCCAATCACCAATGGACTGGTATTCATATCGTCGTGGATTAACGCAATGGCATATTCTAGGTGTTCACCAGGTGTCATGTCAATCATGGCATATCATCGAGTTTGCCACAGAACTTGAGTCATTGTATAGAGTCGGTACTACAGACGCTAGCTTTTTAAAACCACATTCTATACCTATGTCTGCACCTTATCATTGTTATTTTCGTCACTCTCATTCTGTCTAATTATATCTTTTGTGTTTGAAAAAATTGATATGTTGCACGTTGAAGTAATTGTGAAAGCGTCATTCTCATGGGTTATTTTTCATGATCTGATTCAGAATTAAATATCTCTCAAACAAGATTTACAATTATCCATGCCGTGTTTTCATTGCGTCTCTCATTCTCTGTATATTCTGCCATTTCAATTATCTAGATTAAAGCATTAACTGTCAAAATAAACTTTTCATTCAATTATCTATATTATGGCATTACCAGTATGCTTTTTATCTGATTTAATAGAGACCAGACAATCTATATTAAACTCTATATTATGCATCTTTGAAGTTCATGCATCCTGTCTGTATGACATCAATGTCTTAATGGCATCTATTCCAGGTTGACATGAAATAAAAACATGAATGACGCCATTCATTCACGATACTACAGTGTATTGATGCAATTCTAATTTTACTATGTGTACGTCACAAGCAGAATAACGTCAAAGCTGAAATGACGCTAGTCATATACGATAGTATTCTTTTTATTTTACAATCATTATATTCATTATACGTCATTGGCAGTCCGTTCATCAGATATTTATTGGAAAATGCTTGTTTAATTGAAAGATCAACATGACAAGAATTTCGATCATTAATATAGATTTGCCGTTTACGAAGTGAAGCTGGATGGTTATTGATACACGTACACTTGAGTTTATTTTTATTGTTCAATATTTTTTTTTTTTTTTATTAATCACCTAGTCCCACACAACTTGTTTCTATTGGGTTGTGGTAGTGTGATTATGTAAACTGATCTTAAAACTTGTTGTAAATTCTAATAAAAAATTTGTTGAATGGAATTGCTGTTACTGGATTGAGTTGCCATGGCTATCTGCCACTCTAGGTACTTGTTTTTAAAGAAGGTGGAAAATTTATAAAATATTAGAATATTTTAGATTCATTATCATTTTAATGCAATAAAGTTTGGAACAGGAAGTCCCATAAATTGATCATTCTGATTGCAGTCTTTCGAAAGGCTTAGACACCTTTTATTTCCAAGGTATTCATAATACTGTGTAAAAAATATTACAAAGCAAACAAATGCAAATGTCAAACTTTAAGAATATCAATTTACTAATGAATTTGTGTAGCAAATTTGTTATTGAATTTGTAAGCTACATACTTGTTTTATGTGAAAGCGGAAAATGTATCAAATATTGGAATATTTTAGATTAATTATTATGTTTAGAGCAACAAAGTTACAATCTGAAAGTCATTTAAACCACTATTGCATATGTAGCAATTTACAATTGAATTTGTTTTTGAATTTACATTGTAATTTGCTATATAATTTGTATTGCAATTTGCTACCTGGTATTGAAATTATTTAAGAATTTAAACCAATATTGCATACGTAGCAAATTACAATTGAATTTGTTTTGCAATTTGTTTTTTAAATTACATTGTCATTTGCTATTTATTTTGTATTGCAATTTGCTATTGAATTTGTAAACTATAGTTTTAAAGTAAGATTAATAGTAGAAACCAGATACTGGTCCCTAAGTGCTACTCACATGAAACTTGGCATGCTTGTTCCTTGGACAATTGTGCAGCTATTTTTGATATTATGTTGCGCTATTCCAAGATGGCTTTGATAACTTCATAGTCGGTTCCTGGTCCATAGTATGGTGGTACTTGTTTTCCTCATCTGGTTGTTCAAGATAGAGAGTGTGAATGAGGTTTGAAATCCCATGTAACAACTAGGTTATTTCAATAATTTGCTTGCATGTAGGGTTCTTTAGCAGTAGCAGAAAACCGGAGTACCTGGAGTAAACCCACGAGGTTGGACATGCAACACATATCTGAGGTTTAAAGAATAGAAAATGATCATTGATTAGCTAATTAATTAATTAATGGAGAAATCTGATGTGTTTCAGCAGATACATTGTTCTGTTTTAGATAGAAACAAATATGAATCCTGTTTATTTTCCCAACTTCATTAGCCTAGTCGGAGCAGAACAGTAGGACGTTTAACCCCATTTTATTTCATTTCATTTCATTCCTGTTTATTTTCTTTCCTGTCAAATTTAAAATGCAATTACTGGGCCCTGTTTCTCGAAATCTTAACTAAAGATAAAATCCAAATTTTAGTAGATACTTCAATTTTGATTGGCTAAGCACTAAAATCAATCTAATATTATCCAATCAAATTACTAAAATTTTAATTTTATCTTAGTTAAAATTTTGTGAAACAGGCCCTTGGTGCTACATCATATGATTATATAATACATAAACCTGAACTCAAAAAATGAAAAATTCTAAAACTCTTATCAAGAAATCTCTTCAATGTCACGTTTAGGATACATATCTATTAAACACACCCTAATTTTACATTTTTATACTCCCACATCAAGCTTATAAACGCTTTAGAGGTCAAAGTTCTCATACACATTGTTTATGAGTTATTGCCCTTAATCTCTTTAAAAAATCTTGTTGTCCCTCCAGAGGCTAAGCTTATCATCCGATTGGTTTGAAATTTATACGCAGTGCTTTTGTTCAGGAAACGAAAAAGTCTATCAAAATCAAGGCAGCCTATCGTTATGTTGTATTTTTTGTCTGTAATTAAAGATACATTATAGGAGATCAGATAAAGAGCTGGCAGTTCTCACCATAACAGTTCAAAACTAGATAATGTAAAGGGAATTTACTAAAAATTTCAGTCAAATTTATCCACTCTGATCCGAGAATTTACGGAATGAATTTTCGGCCTAAAGTCGGTATAATAAAAAAACTTAGTCTCGATTAACCATTTCATGATTTAATCATGAATGAAAGTTGAGCAGCAAATCGGATCCTAATCTAGTATATCGCAGGC